AGGGATGTGATGGATCAATTTTGCTGAACCATCTAGGGAGTGAGAGGACTGCTTTGGAGAGCAAAACCCTCAGAGGGTTCCAATTGATTGATGATATCAAGGCTGAGTTGGAGAGGAAGTGTCCAAAAACAGTCTCTTGTGCTGATATTCTCACTGCTGCTGCAAGAGATGCCACTCTTTTGGTTGGAGGACCATTCTGGGAAGTTCCATTTGGCCGCAAAGATGGCAAGATTTCCTTATCAACAGAAGCCAATTTGGTTCCCCATGGCCATGAAAACATCACAGCTCTTATTGCATTCTTCCAAGAAAAGGGGTTAGACATTCTTGACTTGGTCACACTCTCAGGTTCACACACAATTGGGAGGAGCACTTGCTCTTCTGTTATGGACAGGATTTACAATTTCAATGGGACTCAAAAGCCTGACCCCTCAATCAACGTGTATTTCTTGAAATTGTTGAGGAAGAGGTGTAAATCAGAGTTGGATTTGGTGCACCTTGATGTTTTAACCCCTAGAACTTTTGACACAATCTATTATACAAACCTTATGAGGAAGGTGGGGTTGTTGTCAACAGATCAGTCTCTCTTTTCAGATGCAAGGACAGCTCCTTTTGTTGAAGCATTTGCAACACAACCTTTCCTTTTCACTAGCCAGTTTTCAGTGTCAATGGTGAAACTTGGGAATGTTCAAGTTTTGACTAGGCCTAGTGAAGGTGAAATAAGGGTTAATTGTAATCGTGTCAATACTGTCTAACTTCTGTCCTACTTAATATGTGGTCTATTTCATTGCTCCAATCTTACATTTGGAATGTCATAGAAGACAATATATACATGTCTCTACTTCTATGTTGTATGAGAAATTACCTTTCACCTTGTTAATTATGTAACTAAATGTATTGATAAATTTTTAATAAAATACAGTTACAATCTTATTATATCAAAGTTGTTAGCAAACTACATATCTAAAAGCACAGCAATTATATATTTTTAGATTATGTTTCGGTACCAAGAGAAATATAAATATCCCTTTACCCAATATGTATTTTAAGGAGAAAACTCTGGAGAGAATATAATTTTAGATATTTTTTTACAGAATCCTTATTTTCTTATTTTAATGAGTTTTATCGTTACAAAATTAAAAGTGAAGAGAATTTAATTGAAGTGATTGTTATAAAGAAAATAAATTATTGTTTTTATATGTAATTCAACTTGTTACGAGTGTTTTTTCCTTGTCATGTAAGTAGTTGTTTCTGATATTGTCTGTTATTGTTATTGTTATTGTTATTGAGGTCAACGTTTGGTAAAAAGGTGCATCTAACAAATATGGTGAAAAGTGTTGGCAATTTTGTTCTTAATAGAGTTGTCATACATTATCAAACATCACCACCAATATTGATGCATATACTTATCTAGTTTCGACAAAGCTCATTCGCCACTATTAGACAAGGTCGTCAGGACCTCCTAACCTTATTCCAAAGGATAATGATGTTTCATTTGGCTATGATTTCAGTAAATCTAACATATTGGTTCTTTTGCGACCTGAATTTCCTAGTTTACAACCATTTTGTGTTTTGTTTTTCAATGTATGGTATGAAAGTCTATACAGAGGAACTTGGTCGTCTTAGAGTAATGCCTGAATCTATAAGTGTTTTTTATAGTATATCTTTTAATGAAAGTTAAATGAACATTCAATATTGTTGACTCAATTTCTCACGATGCTTTGAATTTTTATTCAGAAGTAACTAATATCATGGTTTGATTTCCCATGATCTTCGATTCACATGTTAAAAAAATACTAAAGAATTGAAATATGAAGATAATGATATATCGACATCACATAATGCTATGAAATCTAACATTTTCACATTATTCTTATACCAGTGAAAAAACATGATTTTATAACGACTTATCATATTGGTTATAATTAACTCATAATAAGTGACACAGTAACAATTTCGTAAGTATGATAAGAATTTTTACAGGGATCAGACCAAGAATGGATATAGAAAGTTGGTGCGATGATATTATCGGTAATTAGAAGACTTTCTGTACAATAGTTAACTTCTTGGCAAGTATACTAAGTCATTCAAGTAATATAAATTGTAAGTCCAAGTATCGTTTCCCAAGAGATTTATGTTTGTTTAGATAATCATAATTACTTACTAGTTTAGGCAATGAATATAAACAGTTGTTGGTTCAAATAATTTGCAAACATGTAAAGTTACTAAATATAAAGATTATAAAGTGATACAGGTAAAGACTCATCACAGTTGGACTTCATGACCCAAACTCTATGCACTTATGCACACAATATATCTTTAACATATTCAAGTATTCACATCATAAGTATACAAGCCCTAATTCCCTAGAGACAAGTTCTAAATCTTTATGTGGAAATACTAATTCCTTAGATATTCAAATAAAAGATTTGTATTAAGAAAAGATGTTTAGAATGACCAAGAATTTAGGTCTAGAACCAAGCCTCTTGGTTGTTCTATCCATTTTTAGGCTCCAAAGCATTGTCCAATGATTAGACACCACCAAAATAGCATAATATTCCATCATGAAAGGTAGCTTTAGTGACATGTGGCTTCTTAAGCTTGTTGGGCTTCTTAGCTGGACTAGAGTTGCCAATGTTTCACTGGACGAGTGGCTTCTAGCAGTATCTCTTTAATCTTCTCCAATCTTCCATTTTCCTGCAAAATAAACCAAAAACAGATAAGTATCTCTATAAAAACTATATACAAGTCTTGCACCTTTTCATGAAATTCAACACAATAAATGAAAAAAAAGACAAATAAAGGATTCTAAGAAGTGTGAATAATAGATGATTATCACACCTATCAACTCTCCCAAAACTTGAACTTTTTCATATCTAAAAAAGCAAAATTGGCAAAAACAAGTAAAGGTAATTATCACCCTCTTCAACATATTTCTTGTTCTCCTCTTCTAGGGTGTGGGACAAGGTAGATTTTTCTTTAGGCATTACTAGATAATTTACAATGCTCTAACGATTCACAAAGGAAGACAATTTACAAAGCTCAAAAGATTCACAAAGGATTCAATGTTGTGCATTAGGGTGATAATTTGGCCAAGTAGCTTCGTTTCACAAAAGAAAAATGGCCTATCTTATCTCCAAACAAATGTGTGTATGCATTTATAAGAATCATGCAAAAATCAAATTTATAGCAACAACTTTCTCACTGGCTCACTATATCATCACACTCAAATATTTAATCCATTAGGTTAATATCAAGCAGGATAAAGAATAATTATATAGCCACCACCTCCATAAATCTCAACACTTAAATTTGCAGTGATTTTTTCGAGATCAAACAAGTTATCATCCAATGGATTCAAGCTCTAAATGCTAAAAGAAAAATAAAGGCATCCAAAAACAAGGTTGACCTACAAAAATCAATTTAAAATACTACATGAAAATGTTCTAACATAAAGCAAAGTACTAAATATAAAAAACTAAAACAGATTAAAAGAAACTATATAACGTGTACCATAGGATACCCAATCCTCCAATGGTCGACCGGTGACTCGGGCGACCTGGTGACAGTTGAACCAATACGAGGCTTTCTTAAAGATCGTAATACTGCGTCGTCGACCACTTGGTCCTCGACAACCAAATAGTGATGTCGCGACATAACGTTCGCACAGCGTACGACAAGTTGCCTATTCATGTCGACGCACAGGATGGTCGACATACAAGCGCTATATCGTAGCATGCAGTTACAGATAAGCAGTTACGCATAATCAGCTAACCAACGCCGCGAATCACGGAAGTAATTGACTCAGTATCAGCACACGATCTAGCAGTTACAACTTCCACACAGTCAATATTCAATAACTGACCGGATTGTCAGGTAACGGTTTATTTTACTGTTTTAAATACACAGGGCACACCAGAAAAAAGGTACGTTTTTCCCCGGAGAGAAATTATTCTTCTTCTTGATCACTTTGAACCAAAAGATTCTGGTGACCCCTTTTCTGACTTGAGCGTCGGAGTGCCTTTGCAGGTACCCAGCCCACCTTTTCCCAAGGAACAGAACATAAAGAGAGGAAGGAAGCATTGTGACAGAGAGCGTAAAGAGAAGCAGTTCAGTTTTGTTAGGTTTGTATCTCGGCCTCCACATCCCTACTGAAACATT